AAGACCAGAAATGATTCAAAAACTAAATGTCACTTACATGCATACAAATATTTGGTATATCTTTGAATTAAATTTCCCAGGTCAATGGAGGTTTAGAGGCATTATTTATGAGGAAAAGATGGGCTAAAAGTTGATACAGCAAGGTTCAGAGACCATGGAGTTCGACTGAACCAGTTCAATTAATGTGATATTTTCTTCATTTGTCTGAACCCATAAAGAAAATGCTATCAATTAATTAATGTGATCCCTTTTTATATGCTCGAAACCAAAATACCCATCAAAAGTTAAAATGTAGACAATTAATCAATGTGATCTTTTTCACTCATTTGAAACCAAAAAAAAAAAATGATGGGTAACAATGGCAGTTTTTACCTTCACTCCAATGTTTTTGCGAGTTCCTCTTTTTCTGGGGGGAGGGAGGGTTCAGAAATTCAAGGAAAGGTGGGGAATCCTACAAGACTAAGCATGTAACCAAGTCTAGTCAAATAAATTACTCAGTATGTTAGATCAACTAGTTTCCATATATTATTTGTAATTTAAAAAAGGTAGTAGGACAGCATGTTTATTATTGATTATTATCCATTTATTGAATCACATGCTGTGTTTTATGTCCATTTGCTGACAAGCCCAGAAATTCATGAGAACAGAAACACAAGAGAGGGGAGGAACAGGCAGTTGCATATTGATCTTCAAACTTTTAAGAACCAATATTGACGTCAACATGCAATATTTGTACGAACTACATAATAAATCATCAGAAATTAGTCGTATATAGCAATATACACATTTCGTAATTGTGGAGTAAAGGTGCATACAAAGAAACAATAGTTTTCCAGAAGGGAAAAAGTAATTTGGCAGTTACATTGTCACATGTTGTTACACCTCATCCATTTATAGTCAAAGTCAAATAAGGATTAAGTTTAATAAATGATTTTTATGGGGTCTAATTGGTAATTACTAATACTTGGAGGGCTAGAAATAATATATAAAGAAATTTAGGGAGTTAGTTTACATTATTAGAAATCAAAGAACTAAATAGAATTTTGTATGAAGAATGGGGACTTGACTTTGCAATTTGGCTATAGTTATCCATTTAACCTTGACTTATCTATTCATTTTGCTCATTCCTTTGGAGAGAAGAGAAGACAGAGACCGAAACCATAGAGAGAGAAAGAAAAGGGAAAGGAAAGAAAAGAAAAGAGAAGAAAAAGAAAAAGGAGGAAAATAAGCTACAATCTTCAAGTTTTTTTCTCAATTCCTAGAGGTAAGCATGAAATTTACTTATTGAAGAATGATATTAGATTTTAGGGTTCATGGAATTTTTCCCTAAATTTGAAATTTGATAAGTAAGGGTTATTGAAATATATTTTAGATATTAAACAAGAATATATCAATGAAATGCATATTGGAAGGTTGGTGTTGAAGAAAGTAAGACTTGAAGATGGGTTTATTAAGAACTTGTTTGGGAGAGATTTTTGGGGAAAGAATTGATTGTGAATAGTGATATGATGGGAAATGTGTAGTTGAAAAAGAAGAAAAAATTATTGATGTGATGGAAAATATTATTTTATTGAAGAATGTGTGGTTGAAAATGAGAATTGATTTACTGTAAAAAAATTTAACCCATCCCAAACAGAGCTTAAATATATACTTATTCTTTGATTTTTCTTGTATTTATATGATATGATATGAAACATGTGATTATGAAGTATTAGAGTGAGATATGGATTTGTGGTTGGATTTTGGTATTTTAAATCAATTTTCGTGCAAAATTGATTAACGAGTGCTATTTCTAAATTCAGAAACTAATGCCAGATTTCAATATTCTAGAATTTTAGTGTTGTTTTTGTCAAAACTTGGTTTTTCTCAGATTTTACAAGTTGAATGAGACTAAAAGATAAATATAAAAGTTTAGGTATTGAATTAAATTATATATGGGGGGTTTTATATGTATAAGGTGAGTGAGTAATGAATTTGGTATATTTGGTGATTAGTGGGTAAATCGTCAAAGAGAATTGAAATGGTTATCTTATTATTCTTATTAAAATTGTGAATTGAGTTTTGACCCGAATAAATTTATTATTATATCAGGAGGGAGATTGGGACAGCTCACCAGTCAAACTAATTGTCCCGTAAATAGCTTGAGAGTGGAAAAACTTAATTATTTTTCAAGTGTTGATAAATTAATTATAGTATTATACATTTTATGTAATTATGTGCATTATTGTCCAATTACATGATAAATGTGAAAATAGTCTTTCATTGTGATATATGTGGAATTTTAAAGAGTGTATATGGTTATTTGTGAATTAGAATGTGAGACATGTGTGATATTGAGATCAACTTGAAAAGTACCCGTGATTATATGTTTATTCTAGTTCATTGAGGGGCCTAACCGTGTTCTATACTACACTGAGGGATTTTGACGATGGATGAAGGGGTCTAACCGTGTATATATAGTTAACTGAGGGGCATTGGCCGTGTTCTAGTATTGATTATGAGAGGTCTTTGAAACCCACTTCCATTCACTGAGGGGGCCTAATGCCCGTGTCGGGAGTGTTTGTCCCAAAGGGCAACCTACGCGCGTATGACCAGATTTCAGTAAGAGGGTACATTTTTTGTAGATTTCCTGATACATCTGATGTGATGAGATGATGGTATAGATTTCAATTGATGATTATATCATGGTTATGAAATGATATTTTTGAGTATTATGAGGACGTCTCACTTTTTGATTATTATTATTATTATTATTATTATATTTTATTATACTGTGGACTGTTAAATGATATAAACTTGATATTGATAAAAATGTGTAAATGTAAAAGTATAATTATTTTTTAACTTCTCCACTCACTAAGCTATCAACTCATATGTTTTTCCACTATTTCCTTATCAGGTAGCAGTTGAGTTTTTTGGCATCTTGTGGAGTTGAGCCTTGATTTTGGAGTCAAAGCCACCGACAAAGTTAGCCAGTATGACTCATTTTCTAGAGCATGTAGTCAGTATTTTGGGACACATGTTCATTTTTGGATGTCATTCCACATCACTTGTAGATAGTTAGACGGGCTCACTATGTATTTTGTATCCATATGTACAGTTGATGCTATTTTCATAGTAAAAATTTAAGAATTCGGCTTATCTCTGTACCGTGTTATACTTCTGTAGTTAATGAAGTGAATCGTGAATTAGCATGGATATGATATTGTTGGGAGTAGTATAAAATTGTTTACAAGTTGGTTAGTCTAAATTACAGGGGAGATGATATGATCCGGGATAGGCAATCACTTGGTCGAGTTTTGGAGTACAAATTGAAGAAGTTGACAAGCCATGGTTCAAGTTTCGTGAAGGTTTCGAGAGCCGAAACGAGTTGGATTCAAGGTTTGGAAGATATTTGGAAAGAAAAAGAGCAGCGTGGATGAAAACGGGCATAACTTTCAGCTCGGTTGTCATATTTTCGCCCAAGTACATTCTGAAAATGGCACGAAATTCTACATAAGGCTACGCGGGCTCATGATACTTTTGGGTTTGCTATCGCACAGAAACATGCCGAGAATCTTAATTTTACGTGCATTTCCTTATTTTGTTAGAATTTTAGTTTAGGTAAGCATCTGATAAGAAACAGGCTAAACGAGTTGGATTCAAGGTTTGGAAGATATTTGGAAAGAAAAAGAGCAGCGTGGATGAAAACGGGCATAACTTTCAACTCGGTTGTCAGATTTTCGCCCGAGTACATTCTGAAAATGGCACGAAATTCTACATAAGGCTACGCGGGCTCATGATACTTTTGGGTTTGCTATCGCACAGAAACATGCCGAGAACAATTTGCCGAGAATCTTAATTTTACGTGAATTTCCTTATTTTGTTAGAATTTTAGTTTAGGTAAAAATCTGATAAGAAACAAGCCACAACCAGAAGAAAAATTAATGAAGTTGTCCAAACAAAAGAGTATACAATGGAAAAGAAAGATGACTGGAAAGACACGAGACTCTAATTCCCTCTATTTCACTCAATGTTCATTCATATCCCATCCACACCCCTTACAAGTTTATTTATACCCTACCCCCCAACTGACTCTAACAAAAATGACTTTGACTCTTAACGAATAACTGACTCAGCATAATTCTAGAGGTCACTAATCTGCCCTGCTGTCAAGTGGCTCCCTCCATGTGCTTGCTTGGCCCCTTTGTTACGTATTGTATATGTAAACTTAATTAGAGGTTTATCAAATACCCCTCCCAATGTAGTCACCTTGTCCACAAGGTGCCAAGAAGGAAATTGTTGGTTTATCAAGTCGAACGGTTTCCAAGTTACTTCCATAGGAGACAGCCTCTTCCACTGAATCAAGACCTCCATAGCTTCAGTTGTTCCTTTTTTAGGCTACCTGAACCCTAAAACAACTTCTGGTTCCACAAGGAGTTCCCAGTCCTCACCCAGCTGAAGGGGGAGGGAAGAGGTGACCGGAACATTTCCCACTACTTTCTTCGACTGCGAAACATGAAAAACAGGGTCGACACGTGTATCAGCAGGTAGTGACAATCGGCAAGCCATTTTTCCCACCCTTGCCAGAATTTCGAACGGTCTATAGTACCTCGGGGCTAATTTTCCATATGGCCTCATTTTCACATACACCCAATCTCCTGCCAGAAATTCCACATTCATTCTATGTTTGTTTTCTGTTAATTTCATTTGTTGTTGGACCTTATGGAGATGTAGTTTTAGTTCATCCAAAACTTTGTCCCTTTCCTCCATCTGCTGTTCCAAAGCTAATATGGCTGTGGTTCCCTTTTTGAAACGAATTATCGGGGGCGGGTTGTGCCCATAGAAGATGCGAAAAGGGGTGAGCTGGGCCGATACATGATAGAAGGTATTGTAAGAGTATTCAGCCCAAGGTAGGAACTGATACCATGTTGTTGGCTTCCCTGATGCAAAACACAGTAAATATGTTTCGACCCCTCTATTGACCACCTCCTTCTGGCAGTCGGTCTGCGGATGATAAGTCGAAAAAGCTCACTCCAGAATTTAGTCGCGAACACCTTATCACAGTCAGAAATTATAGAGCGAGGTATCCCATGTAATCTGACCACGTCCTTAGCGAAAACTGCAGCAACAGATGGGGCTGAGAACGGATGCTTTAGGCCGATGAAATGTGCGTACTTGCTTAAGTGATCTACTACTACTAGAATTGAGTCGACCCCTTCTGATTTTCGCAGTCCTTCGATAAAATCCATCGAGATGTCCTCCCATACGTGGTCCGGAATGGGTAAGGGTTGGAGCAGTCCCGCCAGGGCTAGGGTAGAAATTTTTGTTGTTGACATGTTACACAAGTAGCCACGTAAGCCCTGATATCTCTTCTCAATCCTTTCCAGAAAAAAGTCTCTGCCACCCTTCGACATGTTTTTAGAAAACCCCCGTGCCCACCTACCTTGTCATGCCCTTCTTGTAAAGCCATCTGTACGAACTGCGAGGTCCTAGGTAACACGAGTCGACCATTATACATCAGGTTGTCTCTCAACAAAGAGTACCCAGGAAAATTTGGTGGTACCCAGACTTCAAATCTATCTTGGAGAATATGGTGGCTCCCCCGAGCTCATCTAGTAGCTCATCAATTACCGGTATCGAAAATTTATCAGGAACTGTAACCTTGTTCAACGCTCGGTAGTCCACACAAAACCTCCAACTGCCATCCTTTTTCCTAACTAACAGAACTGGGCTCGAGAATGGGCTAATACTTGGTTGAATCAGTCCTGCCGCTAACATCTCCCGAACATGCAATCTCGTTTTTCTGGAAGTGGGGGTATCGATAGGGTCGCAAACTTACCGGGGCTGTCCCAGGTTGTAGAAGAATAGCATGGTCGTGTCTTCGTGATGGGGGAAGACAACCAGACATCTGAAATACATGACTGACTTCTTTCAACACCTTCAAGATTAGTTCTAGGGGTTTCGAGTAATTCGGTTGAACCTAAACTAGGATGTTTCCCAATTCTAGCAGCGCCTCCTCACCTTGTGCTTTAAGTGCCCTTTAACATCGACTTCATAGACACCGAAGTTCTATTCAGACTCGAATCTCCCTTCAGGACTACCCTCACATCTGCTGCAGTGAATGCCATGGTTAGAGTTTGCCAATTAACTTGCATTTCCCCCAGTTTGCGCAACCATTGCATTCTTAGAATGACATCTGAACTTCCTAAATCCAACGGTAAAAAAAATCCACTATCACCACATTCTGGAGTTGTAACTTCACCCTTTACAAATCCTTTCCCCTCTAACCGTCAGTCCAGTGCCCATAATGACTCCATATACTGTAGTACTGGATAATGGAAGCCCGAGTTGCAGGACCACCTCTTCTGAGATGAAGTTATGCGAAGCCCCATAGTCTATCAACACGACCACTTCTCTGTCCCCAACCTTGCCTCGTATTTTCATTGTTTCAGGGGTAGTAAGTCCTACTACCGAATTGATGGACTGTTCAACAGGAATCCCCACGCCTTCCGTAACGCCACTCGCATCTCCTGGGGGTTGCTCGCAGTAGTCTGAAAATTCTCCTCCTTCGACCCCATCAAAATCTCACTCTTCCCTTCCCCAAGGATCATCTTCCTCATTTTCTCGTATGACCATTACCTGTAGTTCTTTATTCCTGCATCTATGCCCAATAGTAAACCTTTCATCACACCTATAGCACAATCCCTTCTCCCTTTTGGCCTGCAACTCTGCATCTGTTAGCCGCTTGAAGGGGGTGGTGGGTTTTGGTGAGTAGCTTGGTCGGACAGGAGCAAAACTGACAGGTACCGTCTGCCTATGGAAGTTTGTAGAAGGCTGGGAATTTGATGGGCTAAAACTCACTTGGTTTCCTTTGAATTTATTTGGGTTGGGCACGCTTGGGCTACCTTGGAGGATGGCATTTATTTCTTCAACACGTTGGGCTACATTCATTATTTGCTCCAAGCCCACTGGATTCAGCAACTGGACTTCTGCCTTAATTCATAGATTGAGCCCATTAACAAAATTGCATTCCAAAACCTCTTCAGAGATATTCTGTAACGGTGAAGCCAGCTTCTCAAACTGCCGGTGATACTCCTTACCGCAGTTGTTTGTCTGAGAGCCAAAAATTAGGCACACGACGACCCTTCCTGTGACAGACGGAATCGCTGCAACAGTCGCACCTTCAATTCTTCCCAGTTTCTCATAGGTCATCTTCATTCCTCCCATTGATACCAAGCCAAGGCATCACCATCCAGACATACTGCAACTGCATCCCATTTCTCCTCTTCTGACAGTCGATTGATGATGAAATAGCGCTCGACCCGGAAGACCCACCCGTCCGAATAATCCCCGTAGAATACCGGCATGTCTAATCTCCTAATGCGAGTCTCTGTTTTCCCTTCACTTCCCAATCCGCTCTCACTGTGTTGGCCTCCCTTCGCACTCGCCTGTGCTTCGCCCACCACTGGAGATAAGTTCGAGGAGTTATCAGTGACCACACTCCTCTTTCCCTTCGCGATCCTGGGTGCCCAACGACCTCATCAATACTTCGAATTTGCCCATCAACTCTTTCCGTAGTTGCGGGAAGTCTTGCCTCATAGCGTCCATCCCGGATTGGATCACTGCTTGGTTAGCAGCTGCTTGCTTTTCTATTACCTCCGTGCGGTCTGATAGAGTCATGGTTATAGTGGTTGGATCAGGTGCTCTGATACCAATTTGAGAAGAAACAGGCCACAACCAGAAGAAAAATTAATGAAGTTGCTCCAATATACCTTCAACAGAAGAGTATACAATGGAAAAGAAAGATGACTGGAAAGCCACGAGACTCTAATTCCCTCTATTTCACTCGATGTTCATTCATATCCCATCCACACCCCTTACAAGGTTAGATAAGAAAGCCAACATATTTAGATACAGCAATAGTTGTGAATAAAATCAGAAACAAATTACTACAAGTGAAAACTGAAAATTTGACATCCAGGACTAAATACTAATTAAATTAAATTCACCCCTTTACAGAAACATTAGAGGAAAAGAACTCACCGCTATTTTCCAGAAGCTTTGATGAATTCAACCTGCGAGAAGGCATAGAACTCAAGAGACGCTGATAATCTGGAAGTAGAGACTGAATAAACAATTCCAAATGAAAATGAATTTATCATATCAAATGATAGTTGAAGCAACCAATGAATTAATAGATTCACTATTGTGTAATGCACACTGGATACTCAGACATCCAGGCGCTAAATCATAGTCAATTTCAAGGGGCAGAAAAAAAGGAATAAGGAACAACACCTCTGAACTATCAAAAAAAATAAAAAGAACAAAGAAAGACAGGCTCACCTTTGGAATGCTAGCAGTATTGCGCAGCTCCTCAGTTTTGCTCAACTTCATACCAGAGAAGAGTTCATAAATAAGACAACCTACCAATTACAAAGCAATAATAATAAATAAATATATAAATAAATAAGAGTACTTATTAAAAAAAATGCTGTAAAACTTCTAAAATAAGATAAACCAAAAACAAAATCTTGTTCTATCCATTTATCAACTCTAGAGCTTGACTAAGTCAGAGAGGTTCTTTGAACCGAGTCCACTAAGACTTAAAGAATGCCAACAGACAGAAGTGCTGAAGTATGATAAAAGGGTGATTTTTTGTCAATAGGAAAAATGTCCTCACAACCTTCAATTTTTTTTCGTTGAATTGCAAACAAGATTCTCTCCTAGATTCGTAAACACATAAATGGAAAATGTAGGTCGTCATAACTCGCTAAATTTAATTTCAACCACACATTCAAAACTATTACTAATTGTTATCACACATTTCGTGGTCCCCATCACTATTCCTCCTAAAAAGCACCTAACACATTTCCCAGTTAGAGGCTTTATAATCGGATATTTTTAGCTTTAGCTCTTGTATACCAAATAATTATTTAGTCTTTCATTTATGATTTTGAGGTTTCGTCAACGAGGATAAAAGTGATAACAGTCTCAATCCTACCAGTTCCAACGAGAGCAAGACCAGCCAAGATCGCCATTGGAACCGACCAAAAAATCAGGTTAAAGCCTCTGATCTTGATACGGCCAATGTCTTTGACTTAGAGACCATTAGCATCAACACAAAGACATTTGTGGAAGGCGTATCAAAGATCTTTTAGATGCATATATTCCTCCCGGGGGGTTGGGACAAGGGCGTAAGGGTCTCTATGCCTCACTATGGTATATTATTTGGATTTGTTTCCCTTGTGGCCCCTTGCCTAATGGTACTCCGTTATCCATAATCCATATAGATCCGTACATAAAGATTGTATACAAATGTAGAAATTGGAAAATATGGAATTCTATTAAAGAAGGTTTAATAGTAAAAATTCTCTTAAACTTCATTTAAATACAAGTATTTAGATCCAATATGGATCCACTGTCTTTGGGGGTTTAGACTCGAAACGAGTACATCAAATTTCCAAAAGATAAGAAATAAAATTTTTCTTAGAAAATTTCTCCTCCCCTTCCCTTCTCATCTGTCCTGTCCTTTTATAGACAGATGAAAAGATTCTTTTTCATCTCCTTCGTTCATTTGTTTATCATCCACAGTTTTTCTTTTGCCAAAACCAAAAGTAATGATAAGGGGATAAGACAAAATGTTTAAAATCACTTTTGCAAAAGTAGATGCCTTTACCCATGGTAAATTGTGGGCCATTTTGTCCAAAGTTGATGCTTTTTATTCTGATTGGTTTTCGTGGTTTTGTTTTTCTGTAGAACTTCCACTAGACTCTGTCTCTTCTGTCGGTGGATCCTTATCTTCTGTTGTTTTACACCATTGGCAAAAATGATCTTTTCCAATGCTGTCTTAAAACTTTACATAATTCTCCTTTGTAATTTGAAGGAGTATTAGGTAAATTATAAAAATTCTTTTCAAAACTACACAAAGTTTTGATTCCTTCCATTTTGATCACTGATCATGTCTTGCTTGTCACCAAAATAGTATTTGACGAATAATTTACCTAGATTTTTGACTCGTTATTTTAAAGGTCATTGAACCCATTAAGAGTTGTTGATATGAAAAACTTCTCCATTCATTGAGAATTTGTTCACTCACACATTTAATATTTGCCGTAATTTGTTTATTCAAAGTAATTTGCTGTAATGTCTTGATTTGGATATGGCGATATCCTTTAATCAGTAGTCCTTCACTATTCCAAAATGAAACTGTTCTGTTTATCTTCAAAATCATATAAAGATCTAGATCCTTAATAGCAAATTTCTTAAAATCCTTCAAGGCTTTTAATAATTTGTCATTAATTAAACTGATCTCTTCCATTGTCTTACTGAGCAGTATCATCTTGATTAATCCACAATGAAAAACTGTTCGCACTATTATTGGTTCAGATCCTTCACAAAAAATGAGCTGTCCAAACCTTTTTTCAATTGTACCAAAATATGTTTTACTTGGATCAGAATCTCCAACTGTTCTGGCTTCTTCACACTGAAAAAAGTCCTGCAAAGTAATTCCACTAAAAAATGGTTTTTCTTGTGCTTTTGGAATTTTTTCAATAGTTTTAAATCTGTTTGGAAGATTATCTGTTTCAGAACTGAATTGGACCATATCTTTGAAAGATATCATCNGTTAAAAGAATTATTGAACAATTATATAAGCAGTTTATTGACTTATGAAATTTTTAAAAGTGAGAGAACAACAATTGAAATTGCAGATGCATTAAATCACTTAGAAAAAATTTCTATATGTGATATGTGTTATTTTGAAAATTATGCATGTGAATTTTCAAAGTATTTTTATATTTATCCTAGTGAAAAATGGGAGGAATTAACAGAAAAATTTATAAGAAAACTTCCTGAACCTTTTAATCATGAAGTTATGGAATTACTTAATAATGCAATTGAAAAACAACATAATCATATTGATCCAAGACTCAATGTTAAAGCTGAAAGTTCAATAGGACTAGTTATCACTTTAACTAGAAATCTTATTGCCGATAAATGTAAAGAAAGTATCTTAGTAAGAGATAGTAAAGAGCTTTAATCAGCAATCCTAAATTATGTTGTGATAAATATCTTAATAAAATACCAGGTCAATATGGATGTTTACCATCTGTAAAAAATAAGAAAAAATATGTTAAGAGTAAAAAGAAATATATCTTTAAAAGATATAAAAAACCATATAAACAAAAAAATTTTAGGAAAAGAAAATTCTCTAAAACAAGTAAAAACTTTAAAGAAGGAAAGAAAAGGGAAGAGATTGGATAAAAAGAAATGTTGTCCACAAAAGAAAAAGAATTGCAGATGTTGGCTCTGCAATGAATCTGGACATTATGCAAATGAATGCCCAACAAGAATTGGAAATGAAGAAAGAGTTAAACTTCTTGAAACTTTCCAAACTCAAGGATTCTACCCAGTAAAAGATCCTAGTGATACAGAATCTTTGTGTTACTTAACCACTGACTCTAAATATGAAGATTCAGAAGAAACATCTGAGGATGAGTAATAAAAATATTACAAATCCTAACTCAATCTATATTCCTATAAAATTAAGTTTTGAAGGATATAGAAAATTTACAACTCATGCTTTTGTAGATACTGGAGCATCAGTATGTACAGCAAGCAAATGGCTGCCAATTATATCATACTTTTATTGAAGAAAATTGAATCTATAAGTTTTACTATTAATAGTAAAAAATTATGAATTCCCAAACAAAGAAAAGCAATTGCAATGAATGTTTTACAAGAAAAATTCTTGAAAAATATTAAAATCAACAATAAAAAAGAAAAACTCAAAAATTTAAGATGGGAGAATATTATTCCAAAAAGAAATATTCTCATAACACTTGAGGAGCAATAGCAATTTAAAATAAATTCTCAGAGAGAAAAAATTAAATTTATTAAAAAATTGTTGTTTAAAAAATCCTTTGGATCCTCAAAAGAACAAAGGAAGAATGACAGCAAGTATTGAATTACTTGAAGAATTCAAAACTTCTANATTAAAGTAATTGAACCAAGCAAATCACAATTTTCTTCACCAGCTTTTATGGTAAGAAAAGAAGCAGAAAAAAGACGTGGAAAAGCTAGAATGGTGGTTGACTATTCTCAATTAAATAAAATCACTAAAGATGATGGATATTTAATTCCAAATATGCAAAGTCTTTTACAATTAATAAAAGGAAAGAAAATATTTTCATCCTTTGATTGTAAATCAGGATTTTGGCAAGTAATACTTGACCAAGAATGTAAACACCTCACAGCTTTCAGTTGTCCTCAAGGACATTACCAATGGAAAGTTGTTCCATTTGGACTAAAACAAGCACCAGGTATTTTCCAAAGACATATGGATAATATCTTGAAAGAATTTTGTAAGTATTGTTGTATTTACATTGATGATATTTTTATTATCTCAGAAACAGAAGAAGAACATGAAAATCATGTAATGACTGTTTTAAAGAAAATAAAAGAAGAAGGAATTGTGTTATCTGAAAAGAAGGCACAATTATTAAAAGAAAAAATTGGATTTCTAGGGTTGGATATAGCTTATGGCTATAAAACCTTAAAACCTCACATCTTAATTCATATTCAAGAATTTCCAAATGAAATTCAAGATCAAAAACAATTGATGAGATTTCTTGGATGTTTCACTTATGCTGAATCTTTTATTAAAGAATTAGCAAAAATGAGATCACCTCTTCAAAAGAAACTCAAAAAAGATTTTACTTGGAACTGGACTAAAGAAGATAGTATTTATGTTCAGAAAATTAAATCTAAAGTAAAAACTTTACCATCATTGTATCATCCAAAATTGGGAGATAAAATGATAGTTGAAACTGATACATCTCATGAATTTTGAGGAGCAGTTTTAAAAGCTTTTGATCATCAGGATCAAAGTGAAAAATTATGTTCTTATGCTTCAGGAACTTTTCAAGAAGCAGAAAAAAATTATCACATTAATGAGAAAGCGATTTTAGCTATGAAAAAAGCTATTACAAAATTCAGACTTTATATTATTTCTGACAAATTTCTTGTTAGAACTGATTCAAGTACATGTAATTCATTTTTAAGGAACTAGGTACATCCAGATTACAAGCAAGGAAGACTTGTGAGATGGCAAATGTGGTTTAGCCATTATGATTTTGAAATACAAATCATAAAATGTAAAGACAATTCTTTAGCAGATACTCTTACAAGAGAATTTGCTTTTGCAGGTAAAAATGAATACAATTGAAGATCAAATTGAAGATCTCGAAATACAGATTGAAATAGAAGAAATGGAGATCTCAACAAGACAACAAAAATTGCAAATCTTGAAAAAGAAGTTGGCTAGACTTCTCAAACAAAAATTAGCATCAACTTCTGAAAAAATGGGGGAGGATGAAACCTCTAAAAAACAACCCTAAACAAAAGGAATTGAAAGTAGCAAGACTACTGGAAAGAAAAATACAGTTCTGAGGAAGACACTCAATATTGAAAGTAGTGATACTACTGGAAATAATACAGAAGAGCATAGTCAAGGTCAGTACTCTCAAGAGCAAAAGGAAATTCAAAACCCAAAAATTGATGTTGACAATAGCAAGACTATTGAAAACAAAAAGACGAATGAGAATTTGAAATCTCAGTGTTCGCAAGAACATAAGGGTAATCCAAGCCCGGCATGAAAAATGCTTGCAAGAGCAAGAGGGTATTCAAAGTCCAAAGAAACTCAAAGGCATTGAAACCCAAGAGAAAAATATTCTAATTGTTGGAATTGAAAAATCATCACTTGTTGGTATTAACAATTTGCCTACAAGTACCAACTTTTATTTAATTTTTGAAGGTCCAGATATGGGCTTTTTATTCACAATGGAAGTTGAACCACTTGTAAAAAACAAGTCTTACAAACATAAAAGTTTTAAAACTTTTCTTTAAGCTCAACAAGCTTTTAACTAGTTTTATAAAGTCAAAGGAGTTACACCTTCTTCTTATAACCATCTTAATGACAATATCCAGCTCAGACCCAGATATTGCCAAGACAGCAACCCAAGAGCTAGGCCCAGATTGTCAGTATTTATACCTCCAAATCCCAATCAGAGATTGAGGATGATATCTTTCAAAGATATGGTCCAATTCAGTTCTGAAACAGATAATCTTCTAAACAGATTTAAAACTATTGGAAAAATTCCAAAATCACAAGAAAAACCATTTTTTAGTGGAATTACTTTGCAGGACTTTCTTCAGTGTGAAGAAGCCAGAACAGTTGGAGATTCTGATCCAAGTAAAACATATTTTGGTACAATTTGAAAAAAGGTTTGGACAATTCATTTTTTGTGAAGGATCTGAATCAACAATAGCACAAACAGCTTTTCATTGTGGATTAATCAAGATGATACTCCTCAATGGGACATTGGAAGATATCAGTTTAATTTATGACAAATTATTAAAAGCCTTGAAGGAGTTTAAGAAATTTGTTATTAAAGTCCAGATCTTCATATGATTTTGAAGATAAACAGTATAATTCCATTTTGGAATAGTGAATGACTAATTAAAGGATATCACCATATCAAAATCAAGACATTACAGTAAATTACTTTGAATAAACCAATTACGGCAAAGATTGAATGTGTGAGTGAACAAACTCTCAATGAATGGAGAAGCCTTTCATAGCAGCGACTCTTAACGGGTTTAAGGACCTTTAAAATAATGAATCAAAAATCAAGGTAAATTATTCATCAAATACTATTTTGGTGACAAGCAAGATAGGATCAGTGATCAAAATGGAAGGAATCAAAACTTTATGTAGTTTTGAAAAGAATTTTTATAATTTACCTAATACTCCTTCAAATTACAAAGGAGAATTATGTAAAGCTTTCAGACAGAGCATTGGAAAAGATAATTTTTGCCAATGGTGTAAAACATCAGAAGATGATAAGGATCCACCGACAGAAGAGACAGAGTCTAGTGGAAGTTCTACAGAAAAACAAAATCAAGAAGACCAATCAGAATAAAAAGCATCAACTTTTAACAAAATGGCCGACAATTTACCATGGGTAAAGGCATCTACTTTTACAAAAGTGATTTCAGACATTTTGTCTTATCCCTTTATCATTACTTTTGCTTATGGCAAAAGAAAAACTGTGGATGATAGACAAATGGACGAAGGAGATGAAAATCTCTCTATAAATGGACAAAAGAGAAGGGAAGGGGAGGAGAAATTTTCTAAGAAAAATTTTCTTTCTTATCTTTTGGAAATTTGATGTGCCCGTTTCGAGGTTAAACCCTCAAAGACAGTGGATCCATACTAGATCTAAATACTTGT